GAGAGAGAGAGAGAGAGAGGGAGAGAGAGAGAGAGAGAGAGAGAGAGAGAGAGAGAGAGGGAGAGAGAGAGAGAGAGAGAGACAGAGAGAGAGAGAGAGACCATGTGTCCGTGCTTACCGATTTGTAGACTGCTGATAGCATCATCGTAGTAGCCCAACTCTAACAAGGCCTCGCCGAGGAAGAAGTGTCCCTTGACAAGGACCTTGTCCATCTCGAGGGCGCGCCTGCAGTCCTGACATGCCGCCTCCCATTTCTTCAGCTTCAGGAAGCAGAGAGCGCGGTTTGTGAAGTAGGTTGGTATGCAGGGATTCCTGAGCTAAAACACGAATGATATCAGCGGTTAGATCATCTTTGTCTCTTAAACTCTCTTTCCATCTTCGTTATAGTCCCTCGGATTGTGAAGATTAATATTTACGAGGTTAAGAGGTTAGATATGTAACCTAGCCTCTCGCCTAAGCACTAAGTAAAGTAGCACGCATCCTCGTATTTCTAACTCAAAAATACGGGTAGGGAGTCCAATCGAGATTCTGATCAATGTTTCTGGGTTAGGTGGCAATAAACTGGGTCTATAGCATAATCTTTACGTGGAATCGCTAACTACACGAACCATTTCCACTGACATTGCGATTCTGCAGTGCCTTCATTATAACTAGCTGTTAGTGTCAGTGGAGTGACAGTGCCAATGACAATGCCACAATTATATAAATGTAACATATGATTTACAGATGTTACACAAATTAGTTAGAGACGCGGAGTGCGGCTAGACTCGGGGTTGTTTTAGTGGTAATCTATGTAGACAGAGCGTCGCTCGTCTTGTGTGGCTACATTGATGTATAGGGAGAATGGTAAATGTAACAGTTTTAGGTTGGGCGTTTCTAGGGTCATTGTGAAATGAGCGTAGGGACATAGGGCTGTGGGTTAGTTACATATGTGGGGGGACAGAGATGTAGGAGCACAGGCACTTGGGCCGTTTCAATAATAAAATGATGGTTAATAAAATAATACAACTTGTCAGTACTAGACCTACCAGTAGTACTAGTAGTAGTACTAGTAGTACACGTAATACTAATAGTCTTAATGTTTGATTTGCCCTAATAACTTCACTTCAATACCGTCCAATACACCGCTGCAACACATAGCGCGCACGCCATTGTGCACAAATACACAGTAATACTATTACTAATAATATAGAGGCCTGCGGCAGTTAATGAACGCGGGCTATAGTACTAGAGCCTAGAGGCTAGAGCTAAATTCAACGTTACATAAATACTACCGAGTACCGGTACTTACAATTGCCTTGGTATAACAAGACACTGCATCGTCATACTTTCTTGTCTGAAAGAATCGATTCCCTTGTTCTTTGAGATCACTGGCATTCATTTTCATATTGTGTGACTTGTGTGACGTGTCATCGGAGAAAGAGGTCGTGAACGGTCCAAAAAGAAGGAAAGTTCAAGAAATCTACAGATTGGCTAATCTCGCAGCGACGTTCAATTGGTGCTCAGAATTGGTGCAATGTTGACAGCGACGCGACTGCCATCTCTTGAGCAGTTGAAGCATTAACGAGCAAAATTTTACAGCATTTGAAAAGCACAAATTTCGTAATTTTTGTGTCATATAATTAACTTTAAATTAAGCATCAATTTGTGAACCTATTGCAACATTCGTTCTATTTAGTAATTACTATGTGTGTTAATAAAAACATTCCATAACACTAGGAAGAGAAGTTCTTGGGTTAGTGGGCAGGCTCTGTAACCAAAATGTGCACATGTACGAGTGCATCTTGCAAACTTGAGGGTGTAAATCTTAATAAAATACACTGTTACAGTATTTTTTACTGAACACAATTTATTAAAACCTTTGCTGCTGCATACCAAAGAATAACATAAAATTCGCTTTTGTAACACAATTCTCCTCGTCGTTCAATATCATGAATATGGCAATTAACGATTAATAAATCGCAGTGGCTGGAGGTACGGTAGCCGTCGGTCGTTGAAGCCCCTTTTTGGCGTTAGGGTTAGGGTTAGGATTAGGTTTAGGGTTAGGGTTAGGGTTAGGGTTAGGGTTCTAGCTCATCTAAACTCTCAAATCGTGAATTTATTTCCCAAGGCGTTATTTCGAAATCTGGCGCCACCGCCGCCATCTTTGTCTCGTTAAGTATGAAAGCGAATGGACGCCCGTACCCGTAGCCTCGAGACATTAAGATACGGCTACCGTACCCGTAGCCACTGCCTTAATAAATACTCAATTTCAAAACGCGGTTAACTAATTGATCTTTAAAGGAAATATTCCATGGCGCCATTCTGTATAGGTAACGTGGCGACGAAGACTTCCGGTCACATCGGTCTTTGCTCACTCGTCATGAAACGCGAGATTACTGTTCCAGACGTCTGATTCTGGCCTTTAATCGCTGCGACGCGTAACACAGGGGCGTTTTCTCTTCCTGCACGAAAACGAGAATCAAAAAATCTACATGTGGCTCCGGTGTATCGATCTCCGTGGTTACCATAAACACATCTGTTTTATATAACGCACTGTAGATTGATATTTCATTTGGATATTCAGAATTCTCGTTCTTTACTTTAAACTGCCATCACATGTGCGCAGACATAAAGGCGTGCAAACATGAACTATGCATATAACTAACACATGCAATATATATATATATATATATATATATATATAAATAAAACAAAAATCATGAACAAAAAATACTTAAATACTACAGTAAAACTCGCATAAGTCGACACTTTTGGGACCAGCATATATAATATGTGCCGACTTACGAAAATGACGACATACGCGTAAGTCGTCATTTTGTCAAATTATATGTAGGGCTCCCCTTGCAGGCGGCCGTCACCCCTACGCAGTCATAAACTTGCTCCACACACAACGACGGTCAGTTCGCTCCACATTCATAGCAGACGTCAAACAATCGGGCCCGTACATCAATCGACACCGCTGCTGGCCATAACGCACGTACATCGCACGAACTAGCGGCAAGCGTGGCACACGCTGGGTATCTGTAACACCCGCTGTTGATTACACGTTTGGACATTGCAGGACATTTGCGGCGCACGTCTGCCAAATTTTCTTGGAACACTTGCTGGAAAAATACGGTAATTCTGCGAGGCCGTGCTCTGAAACGAACTATTTAGTACAGTATGGCAGAATTTTCAGGGAAGCACACGGACTCCTGCATATGTCAAATCAGGGAGTCCGACAGTAAATCAGGGAGTCCGACAGTAAATCAGGAAGTCCGACAGTAAATCGGGGAGTCCGACAGTAAATCAAGGAGTATTTGACTCCGAACTCGCACCCTGCATTGGGCTGCATACACTGGGGAATCTGGGAGATGTGCGAGTTGAAAAAAACACAATGCGTCCAAGCAAACAATGCGAATGAAACAATCAGTGCACACAGCAACAACTCAGTTGTGCGATCTACAGGCGATCGTTGGTTCGACCTATAAGCGCATATCTGCGACAGCCAGCTCGAACATCCCCTAGACCATACACTGCGCCATCGGCATTTGTGATGACGACTTCCAGATGGGAAATTACTGTTGTTTGTATTACATGGGACCTGTCTGAGGGCGACAACTTGCACATAATGACGACTTGGGCGGGCCTATTCCAATGGATTTACTATGAGAGAAAATCGGGACTTTGACTTCCATGACGACTTATGCAAATTGACGAGTTAAACGATGATGACTTATGCGAGTTTCACTGTATCAACATTGTGTAGTTGCATTATTAAATCTTGCTAAATATACCTTATTTATTCACTATAATAAATACCATATTAAGGAGTTCTGTTCTTGCTCCTCTCTGTACAAGCAGCATAGCTTCCTCTGCTCTCTCCTCTTGACATGCCAGGTGACTGTCAAAAATAGATTATAGAAGACAAATCAATAGAATTAGGCAAACTACGTACTATTACATATATAGGCACACTACTACTATACAATACTATACAATACTATGCTATGCAATGCTATGCTATGCTATGCTATGCTGTGCTATGCTATGCTATGCTATGCTATGCTATGCTATGCTATGCTATGCTATGCTATGCTATGCTATGCTATGCTATACTATACAATGCTATGCTATGCTATACAATACTACACTACACTATACTACACTACGCTACACTACACTATACTATGTATACAATACCACATTGGCTCTGTAAATATCACGCAATGTCAGAAGTTAGACTCCGCATAGATGGTGTGTATAAATTAGTTCACGAAATGACACATGAAATTTGCATGACGGCCTTTCGATGGTATCTACTCACATTTAACAATCGCCTAGGAAACCAGTAACTTGTACGGATTATCAAAATTACACAAGTTCACTGCAGATTTCTGTAAATTATACATCATAGTGTATATGTTTTACGCTTTAATGAGAAGCGTTTTCTGAACAGAAGAACCCAAATGCTACGGCAAGTAATACTTCCATACGTGTATCCGCTTCGCTCCCGCTACAGGAAGAAGTACATCCCTTTAGATGGAGCGAAGGTGCTACGCGGGTAGAGGTAACGTTTGCTGTAGCATTTGGATTCATCTTTTCAGAATATCTAAGCGAACACGTGCTCACAGTGGCGTGTTGCCTTCGACATCCTTGCCGTTTACGTTGGATATGTACTGCAAGAGCAGCTTGACGACCTTCGTGTTGCCCTTGCACACGGCCCTGTGCAGGGGCGTGTGGCCCGTCTGGTCGACCACATTCACGTCAGCTCCACTCAACAGCAGCTTCTCTGCGATCTGAAAGACGGAGAAATTCTCTCCGTCAGACGCGTCGCGAAACGTTGTGACTCTTGCGTGACTGCTCTTCGCTTCGAAAAGTTACGAGGTTCAAGTGGTTTTTTATTCGTTGCTACGAGCATATTTGCTCAAGTAAGAGTAATGTATATTGTACATATTGTCATATTGTACGAGTCAAGCATCACTCTACTGCCGAGAATACTAACCTAATCACTTTGTAAAACGACGGGAATTTGCTTGAAATTGTACTTGCCTTACAAAGATTAAGCACCGAGTCCTGATACTCGAGTCAATGTTACATAAACACGGACACGTTCAAGGTCCACGTAGAACCGGCGGTAAGAGAGAAACTAGCTAGCGACTGTCGAGGGGTAGCCAGTGCTTCTTAAACTATTTCGGTGCCATTCACCCTGACATCTTTATCACAAAATTACATTTTCACCAGCGACTAAATTTCCTTATGTTCTTGGTCTAGTTTCATTCACCCCAAAATGATTTCATTCGCCCCTTGGGCTACGCATTCACCAGCTTACGAAACACTGGGGCCGACTGCGGGCCCTCTCGCTCAGCCGCTTCGTCTCTGTGCGTACCTCGTACCTATCCTTGGAAGCAGCGTAGTGCAGAGCAGCCTGTCCCGTCGTGTTGACGGCGTTGACCTGGGCCCCACGCGCGATCAGCTCCGCGACGATCTCCAGGCAGCCGGCGGACGAAGCAATCATCAGCGGACTCCAGTTAGTCTGGACGCACGGGAAGAGAAAACAAAATCCGTCTTCGATATGTAGTCCCTTGGACTTTGAAGACTAATGTTTATAAGGTTTTCAGGCTATGGGGAAAATGACAACAGAGACGGATGTGACACAAATGTGATACATCACAGACAACAATGTGCACGGACACGTTGGGGCACAAATTCAAAAGAGACTTGGGAGGGGGGGGGGAGTTGACATCTATGCGTTGGGATGAAAGTAATTTGCTGCCAGCAATTGCTTTTACCAGAGAATTACTTTAATGAGTGACACATACACAAAATAAACATTGTGAGACAGTCGACTGACGTGAAATTCAAAATATTTGTATCTCACTTTTAGTACAATGCGTACACCTACGCAGGGTTCTCCCTACGTTGCGCAAACGGGGCGCGCGCGCCCCGTTTGGGAAAACTCCCCCCTGTTTGAATCGTTGCGCCCCGTTTGGGAAAACTCCCCCCTGTTTGAATCGTTGCGCCCCGTTTGGGAAAACTCCCCCCCTGTTTGAATCGTTGCGCCCCGTTTAAATTCCACCACAATAAAAGTTTGCCAGCGCGGGAATCGATCGTCAAGAATTGCCGTTCGACCAGGACATCCGACGCGTGTATTTTTACCGTACCACGCATGTACTGAAGACAGTACACAAGTTAACCTGACAATGCACAGTTAACCTGTCACTAACTGTACACCGACTCGGCTATCTTATAATATATACAAGAACCCCCAAATACCGTCTATGGTGTGGTGGCGATTTTACGCATTAATTAGTCGTACGGTAAAAATACACGCCCCCCGGACCCCCCTAGTTATTTCTCTTTCATGCACTGATATTATCCACTTTGTTGTGAATGAGACACGGTTTATTGAAATGTTGCATTATGTAGTTCTGCATGTTGTTCCAAATATTCTTGCACATATTTCCATAAATATGGTGTCTCTAATGGTTTGAGCATTAACTTAGTAATCAAAGATAATGATCAAACAGACTTAAGAGTTAAACCATAAAAGTTGGTAGTTGATCCTTTTCAGGTTGATAGTTTGAGCATTAACTTACATAGCGCTGTGTGGTATGTGTGTGTGTGTGCCCGTGTGTGTAGTCAGTGTTGTTAGTCGATTCAACGCACCCACTGAGTCCGGTCCGAGTCCGCGCACGGCGAGTCCGGAGTCCGAGTTCACACCACCCGAGTCCGAGTCGAAGTTCCACACCACCCGAGTCCGAGTACCGGAGTCCAGTTTTGATTTAAGGAAAAAATCGGAAAAAGGGAAAAATCGGATTGTAAAACTGCGTGTTACAATATGAACAGTTGTGTACTATGTATGTAGTGGCCTGAGCCGGCCTCCGAACCGCGAGTCCTCGAGTCGAGTCATTGCACTCCGAGGCCAAGACCGAGACCGAGACCAAGAAAACGCTCTCGAGGCCGGCCTCGAGACTTACAACACTGGGTGTGTGTGTGGTGTATGTGTGTGTGCGATGCGTGTGGGCGGCGTGCATGTATAATATATAATAATAAATTAATATAATAATATATATATATATATTGCGTTGGGAAGCTAGTAAGGATTCCCTGCTGACCACATGGGGATTGACGTTAATAGGGTATTGTTGCTTTTGCTTAGGTCGGCGAATATCGTGTATAATTAATAACCAATTATAATTAATAATCAACAGGCTGATAATACATTTTTTATTAGCTCTTGTAATTATATATATTGTGTGTATATATTTATATACATATATATATATATATATATATATATATATATATATTATATATATAATTATTTATAATTTTAATAATTTAGAGGATAATAATTCCCATTTCGTAACCTCGCAACAAAAATCCTACATACACCTACTGTGAGCACGAAATGTTCTTACTGAGCCAGAAATGTGCTCCGAACTAGAGGATTTTGATACAACGATCCGACAGTGTTATTCAGCGCATAAATTATGTTGAGCGAAGGGGTATGCTAGAGCAAATAGTTCCTGGAAAGAAAACACTATATTGTATCCTGTTTGCATAAGTAATGTGGATAACATGTGATTTAAACAAATTTCACAATTCTGTACTGAACAAACATATAGTAATGAATTATAACTTGTTTTAAATCATAGGAAAAAGAACTGTTAACGATTGCTCGCTGTGTCCCGGACGTGTAAACATCACTGTGGCGCTACTTTTGCAAGACAAGTAGTGTCGTTTAGATTTTTGTGAGGAAATGTTATGAAAGTAGCAATACAAATGAGTTGTACCGTGAATTTTGCAACATATGCAAGCTCACAGTAGTATATATATGCATTTAGCGCAGGGTTTTGCAACTTTAACCCCCGGCGCCACGACATTTCAGCGGGTCGGCCACATTTTGACCCCGTGACGCGGGCCGACCTCACGCAGCAGCAGCTCATTCCAGACCTCGCCATGAAGGAAGTGCTCGATATCTTCATCGCCGAGAACGGCTGGGTGGAGGACTACTGACCCCCCCGACTCGGACCCGCGCGACCTCTGACCTCCGACCCCTGCATCGCCGGGAAGCAGACCGTGGTCGCGCCGAGAGGTCGCCGCGTCTGCTTCGCCGGGAAGCAGAGCGTGGTCGCGCCGAGAGGTCGCCAGCGTCTGCCTTCGCCGGGGAAGCAGAGCGTGGCGCGCCGAGAGGTCGCCAGCGTTCTGCTTCGCCGGGGAAGCAGAGCGTGGTGCGCGCGAGAGGTCGCCAGCGTCTGCTTCGCGCGGGGAAGCAGAGCGGTGGTCGCGCCGAAGGTCGGCCAGCGTCTGCTTGCCCGGCACGATTACGAGGGCCAGCACGTCGCCACGGTAACGGCCGGCAGTCGCCGCCAATTCCCTCCCCCACGGTATTGTTGACGTCGGCGCGTAGGGTGTATGGGCTGGAAATTCGCAGACGTTGCGGGCAGTTTGCAATCTGTAAATACCCCTGGGGCTAGTGAAATACGGGAATTCTGGGGGGGCCGTGGTTAGAAATGAAAATTGCCTTGACGTTTGTCTTAACGTTAGCTTTTTTCCGTGGTCCGGACCTCTGTACGCTGTGTACGGGAAGCTCGAGACTCGTTACCACGTTTCTGTCAACAAGTCTGTGAGAAAAAAGACTAATTGTAAGACTAATGCTAAAACTAGTTCTGTATTTGACAACGGAGCCTCAGATTATTAGTTTTGCGATAGCAGCATTCGTGATTACGCGTCGGGACGGCTTAATTGGACTTTGGTGGTGCAAGTAAGTTTTCGTGCACACAGAGGCTTCTACAGAGGCTGATCTATGTACGGGGGTGAACCCACGTTTGTTTTCTTTCAAATGTCTTACGTTCTGAAAAACGAACAGGGTTTGACACCTGCCGCATTCCATGAATGTTGTCTCAATAGTGACTGTAGCAATTTTTACGAGTGAAACGTTTGTTTTAACGGTCGATTATCGGACATTAAAAACAGGTTGCCGTAGCCTGTCTTTCGATTAGATGGGAGCTCCATATCATATTATTGTGAACAAATTGAAATTATCTAGAAATTAATTTGGAAGTATTTTAACCGGCAATCGATAACAATACATCAAAAACGTTAGCTATAGTCACAGAGTCCCACGCAAATACACGTAATATAAAAATTTTGGAGCTTTTTTCTAAAGTACATTCATACATAGTTTTATTATTGTGTACATTACAATATATATATAATTAAGCTAAAGTACTAGATTTAGGAAATTTCTTTAAATTATTCTAAAACGAATTTCTCTAAATAATTTACTGCTCTAGTTGGTAATGTATCTATTGTAATATTTATTAGAAATTGATTTTTGTGTGAGTTTATAAGTAAAGGTTGCATATAAGATTTAGTGACCTGCACATACATGAACTCATGTTTATGGAATGAAATATAAGCATGACATAACTCTACAGTCCTGTACAACTAAATTTGTTTTGTAACTCTCATTGTGCTAAGTTTTAAATCACATTGACTTAACATCAAGGGATGTTTTGAAATGTAACAACACAAAGGACAATATCATTACATAACAATAAGCAAATTATAGTACAACGTAGCACAGGTTACTAAGGTTCCATTCAATTTTTATTCGTGCAGGCAAAAAATAAGGCTAGTAGATTTAGCCGGTCTGCCTGCATAAGTAAACAGTTGCCATATTGCTTTCAAGCTGCATGATTCAGTCGTAATATATATTTTGCTAGGGTCCACCGTAGTCAGGACGTGGGGTGAGACGAGACACTAGTTTGTGTGTTGAGCGTCTGCGTGCCACTCCGGGGAAAGTAAATCAGCTGCAATACATAAACAAATATACGTTGTCATTTAAGCAAGAGAACGCTGCTACGCTAAGCCAGGTTAATACTCTTTTTCAATCGAGAAATCGTATGAAAATAACGTCTACGATGGACATTCAATCCGCTTGCACACTTGAAGTACGTGTCGTGTATAAGTCGCACATGAGTTTCTTTCGAAGTATACACATAAGTCACAATTATATCTGACATACATTTGACACTGGTGCACATACATGTCAAAACACGTAAGAGAGAGAGCGAGGCATGCACATTTAGTGAGGGGATGGCAACTGCAATGGCTCGTCACCGAGGAATTATAACCCACTCGGCGAAAATTGTCCGTCAGTCTGATTCGGAAATATGTCGAAAAAAATATTGGCGCATACAGTAATTATTAATTTTTATTTAATCTGGAGAATTCGCCGGCCCGTGGACACCCCCCCCCCCGTTCGCCCGTCATCGTACCTCTCCCGGACGAAGCGTGCCTCGTAGTGTGGGTTTCGCTGTCTTCGCTGAGGTTTGGGTACTCCTCTCAAAGCCAGGAGCGCGTGCTTTGTCCGGGGTCCCGCCGGCACGTGATCGGGCGGATACAGGACCAGCGCTGCGAGATTCGAATAAATGACGATTCGATCGACGGAGCGTTCAAAACGCCTTCCGCAAAACAAATATGTTCAAAACATAGTGAGAGAAATTACTGAGTATCATCTACGATCATCTTTATCCCGACGGTAAACTTTTTTATGCGTATATTCGATTATATTTATTTTTTTATTTTGTTTTTTATTTAGGCTTCTTGATTTTGCTTGAATAAAACAAAAAAGGGCAGGTGAGAGAGAGAAAGATGATTATTCCAAATGATCTTTCAACTGCATTTCAATGTATAAAAAGCGTAACTTTTGCAAACCGTAAGAGCGCCACCTTCTCTCCGCAAGATCACCTCTGCAAAACCAGGGCCGTGAAAATGGAATGGAACTCCAGTATCACTCCGCTGTAATGGAAAAGAAGCACTCGACTAATACACTAGTCCACACCACACCCACAGACACGCCAAATACACCACGTCTATTGATGAAATGATCGTACAGATCTAGTGATGTCCGATGATCGTTATAATCAAGCGTAGTCTTGCAGGCAATTAACACGACTAAGCGCCTGCGATTTATGAAAAATAAATAAATCGATTATCAAAAAAATTTAATCGCAAATACAATTACGTAGTCTAGTTTAATTAATTCAACACTGGATTAGACTAGACATAGTTTTGACAACATTAACAGGTAGAAACTGTTCTGCATCGCAGGGCCGCAAACGGAGATGAAACCTGGGCATGTTGAGAACAATAGTCATCATAGAACGTCGACAGCACTTTGTGTCGTATTGTTATAGAGGAAATCTGCTACGATTTTTCATTCAGGTAATTTCGCAGCGTTTCTGTCGACGGCCCAAGAAGAAAAAAGTTAATACTAAGACTAATGTTAAGACTAATTTGTTTCTGAGAACAACGGCCCTGTTGGTTTACCTGCCCAGTCCGAAGCTATCGCTGGCTCGTGTCCGGTAGAATGAAACGCCGGAAGTTGATAGAGGGAGAACAAACTTCGCCACTCCGTTGTGCGTTGTTTATCTCCAAACCAGTACCAACGTTCTGCTCGTGAACAACGAAATGGGCATGCGACGGTGGCCTATAAGCTATCATCGTGTACATAATTAATACCATTTACTAACGCAGGCCTGCGTATCACGATGCTAAAAAAAAAAAGGGTAATAGTTCTTGAATGTTTCTAAGGTAACATGATAACGCGATCGATGATTACCTTGATTAACATACAAACAGGTCAATGTGGTTGGTCAGCCATCAGTTCTGGCTGCAACTCTTAGTGTCGTTGGAATTACGAATGCGTATGTATCAATCGTATAGATATACTCACCATTACCAAGTGTGTCCGAGCTGGACATTCAAAAAGGTGATTTATATAGTGTTCTAATGTAGTATCAACTGAAAAAGACATTCTCATCAAAAAAAATGACACTTTAAAACGACGATTATATGTTAAGTAATGCATGTAGTAAATATATATATTGCTTAAAATAGATTATCAAACTGTACAAGTGTTGTCTCCATTAAATAAGTTCATGTAAAATTAAGCGAGTGTGCTGTTTTCGACATTTTTGGATCTATAAGAGAAACTGTGTAAAGAATCTCCGACTTATTTTCTTTAAGTTATCGTACTTTTTATATTAAGAATAGGTGTTAGCCGAACTCAACGAATAATTTTGCTATAATTTTTCAAGAGATTATGAGTTGCATATCTCTGAACAACATGGATGTCGGCAGTATGCATGAAATTCTTGCTACATCAAATTTGTAAAAAAAAATAATTCACAGGACTTGGACAAAAGCAAACTACCATGTGACATGCTCCTGATACGACATGACTAAAAAAGAACTCCGTTACTAACTTCTCTGAAAGGAATAGGGGAGGATATATCCATAGGTACCGGGGTGTAGCATTCTTCTTGAACACGGATTACGGACTCCACTGCCTAAGAGGGTCCGTCAGCCAGAGTGGTCTGCAGTCTGAGCCCGTTCAAAAATTAAAGATACTTAACAATAACGCCATGTGCTTATATTTTTAAGGTTCAGTGCTTGCCACCTGTTGCCCCTGCCGCAAATCTCTTTTGGGCAATCTAGCTGGGAATACGGTAATTCCGCGAGGCCGTGCTATATGAAACGACTAGTTAGTATGCAGAATTTTTACAGAAGTCACAGTACGGGACTCCTGACATATGTCAATGGGAGTTGACAGTAAATCTGGGAGTATTGACTCCAGACGTCACGTTAAGTTTTGCACCCTGCGTGAACCCAGGCCGTGCCAGCTTTATATTGGTGGGGGTTTCGTTTTCTATAATGTGGCAATTTGTGTAGGGCGAGGGCGGCCGACGCGACGGGAGCATAGACCGCAGGTCAGGGGGGGGGCGTCCGTTAGGAACCCCCCATAGAGCTACGCGGCCTGCCACTGAACCTTTCCGTAATCGTCTGCCAATCGGCTTTAGCGTCGTTTCTTCGGTACCCTCTCGGGCGTGCCTGATTATGCCACGGTCTTGCGGCGGAGCGTACTCTTCGAGAAACTGCTGCCGCCCTCTGTGTGAGATCGCAGCTGTACCGCTGACCTCGATGTATACATCTCTAAGCCCTGCTGCAAGTCACCCTCGCACCAATCAGCTGCAGATAGATCAAACAACTGATTTATAGCGACAAATTAATGTAAAAC